TTCTAGCCAGAGCAAGTAAGCAAGAGAAAGAAAGAAAAGGTATCCCAGTTGAAAAGGAGGAAGGCAAACTGTCCTTGTTTGCAAACAACATGATCTTATATATAGAAAAACTGAAAGACTCCACAAAAACACTCTTAGAACTGATAGACTAATTCAGTAAAGTTGCAGGTTACAAAATCAACAGACAAAAATCAGCGGTGTTTCTATATACTAATAATGAACTAGTTGAAGAAAAATCAGGAATGTAATCCCATTTACAATAGCTACAGAAAAATTAAATACCTAGGAATAAATTTAACCAAGAAGTGAAAAATCTCTACAAAGAAAACTACAAAATATTAATGAGAGAAAATGAAGAGAACATAAAAAGATGAAAATGCTTCCATGCTCATGAATTGGAAGAATAAATACTGTATTGTTAAAATGACCATATCACATAAAGTGGTCTACAGTTCAATGCAATCTCTATCAAAATACCAATGACGCTCTTCACAGAAATAGAAGCGCAATCCTGAAATATCTGCAAACTATTCATCCAATAAGGGATTAACATCTAAAATATACAAGGAACTCAAAATTATATTAAGAGCAAAAAACCCCAAATAATCCAATTAAAAATGAGCAAAGGATCTGAACAGGTATCTCTCAGAAGACATACAAATGGCCCACAGTATATGAAAAAATGCTCAATATCACTCATCACCAAAGAAATGCAAATCGAAACCACAATGAGATACCATCTTAGTGGCTATTATCAAAAAGACAAAAAAATAACAAATGCTAGTTAAAGTGTAGACAAAAGGGAATTCTTATACACTGCTGGTGGGAATGTAAATTAGTACAGCCACTACGGTGAACAGTATGGAGGCTCCTCAAAACACTAAAAACAAAATTAGCATATGATCCAGCAATTCCACTACTGGGCATATATTCAAAGCAAAGGAAACCAGTAGGCCAAAGAGATATCTACATCCCATATTTATTGCAGCACTATTCACAATAGCCAAGATACAGCATCAACCTGAGTGTCTATCAATAGACGAATGGATAAAGCAAATGTGTGTGTGCACACACACACACACATGTATATAAAATGGAATGGTATCCATCCGTAAAAAGAATAAAATCCTATCATAAACACCTACATAGATGATCCTGGAGGACATTACATTAAGTGAAATAAGTCAGGCACAGAAATTTAAATCTGAGTGATATGGAAATATTTAAAAACTTGATCTCATGGAAATAGCATAGAAGAGTGGTTAGTAGAGGCTGGGAAGAATAGGAAGGTGACGGGGGTATTACAGAGAGACATTAGTTAACAGATATAAAAATTAGAGATAGCAGGAATAAGTTCTAGCCTTCTATAGCACTTTAGAATAACTATAGTAAACAATAATTTATTATATTTTCTCAAATAGTTAGAACTCTTTTCTAACATTTTGAATATTATCAACACAAAGTAATGTTACAGGTTTGAGGTGATAGATATGCTAATTACTCTGATTTGATCATTTCATATTGAATATATGTCTCAAAATATCACACTATACCACATAAATATGTATAATTATTGTCTCAATTAAAATATATATATTAATATTACAAAAAGAGAGGCATTGCTTAAAGAGAATACAACATTGGTCAGAATATAAAGTATCTATTTCTGGAGATTTGTGAAGTATCATTAACAGATTTTAGAGTGTACAGACACTTAACCCTCAAGAATATCAATTTTCACTAGAATATGATTTGCTGTAGTAATGCAAGTTAAATCTTATGTTAACTACCAATAGAGGTAGAAAGAGATTGTGATCTCTAAAATTACTATGGTTAGGATAAAATACACTTAATTCAGCAAAGCAATAACATAGTATTTCACATTAGATGAAACTGAATGGGTTTCCTATTGTTAAGCATTGTATCTGATAAATTGTTGACATCAAAAATATAAATAATAACCTGCAGAAAAAGTGTGTGTGTGGCATATGTGTATATGTGTGTGTGTGTGTGTGTGTATTTTTCCTCCTCCAAATTCAACAGCTGCCTAGACATTAAAGAAAGCAATGTGCTACAGTGGTTAAGCACTGGTTAGGGAATTCAAAGACCTAAGCTAAAACACAGGTCTTATCTCGAAACTGGCTATGGAACTGGGGTAAGTCATTTAGCTCTTTAGACTTGACTATCCTCGTGTAGAAAATGAGAATTGACCCAAATAATCTCTAATGTGCCTTCCACCTCCAAAATTCTTACTTCTTTCAGACCTTAGTGAAAAAGTTTAGATGGCAAAATTTTTTTGTAGTTGTCTTGACAATACAGTCATTATAAACTTATTCATTCTACATACAGTAAATGGAGCATTTATTATGTGCCAGATAGCATTATATAGTGAACACAAAAATCACTAAAAAGCATGCTGCTTTCTCTTTAAGAATCCAGAGTTTGGCCGGGCACAGTGGCTCACACTTGTAATCCCAGCACTTTGGGAGGCCAAGGCAGGTGGATCACGAGGTCAGGAGTTCAAGACCAGCCTGGCCAGCACAGTGAAACCGTCTCTACTAAAAATACAAAAATTAGCTGCGCATAGTGGCAGGCGCCTGTAATCCCAGCTACTTGGGAGGCTGAGGCAGGCGAATCGCTTGAACCCGGGAGGTGGAAGTTGCTGTGAGCCAAGATCGTGCCACTGCACTCTAGCCTGGGCGACAGAGCCAAACTCCATCTCAAAAAAAAAAAAGAATCCAGAGTTCAATAAAGAGGAACATGCAAACACATTACACTACAATGCAACATTCATTAATTTATCACACTCATTGGGTAACATGTGCCAGTCACTGCCCTGAGGGCTCCAAATACAATGATGGGCAAAAATAGTTACAGTACTGCCTTCAAATAGGTTACTATCTAATTGGATATACATTTAGCAGATAAGGGCAAACTATTGATCCTATAAAGAAAAGATACACAACATAATAAGAGAATAACAGAGGAATCTGACCTGGTCAGGAAAATTTTCCTAAAGAAGTGACTGTTGGGTTAAAATCCAAAAGATGAAGAAAAGAGAAAATACAGTTCCAGACAGAGGGGAGACAACTCTAATGTGAGAAGAAGCTTAAAGGTTTTGAGAAGCTGAAAGAAAGCATAACTAGAAGTTTGAAAGAGAAAGAGAGAAAAAATTGGAAGTGTAGTCAGGGGCCAAAAAATATGCAGGGTCTTGTTTGTGGGTCATAGTAAAGAGTTTAGAGCAACATTAAGGTACCTGGGTGACATGATCAGAACTGCATTTTTAAAAGTTCCTCTGGCTTCAATTTGGAGAATGGATTGAAAGGAAAAAAGAATGACTCAAGGCAAACCATTTAGGGAACTGTTGCTCCCAACTCTAAGTGAGAGATAATGGAATAACAATACAAAGTATACACGAGTTATAGTAAATGAGTGCTGTATCAAGTGTACAAATTACAAGAGTAAAGGCAAAGGTAAGGGATAGGGAAAGGTTCTACTGAGGTTATGCCTTTACTGTATCCCAGCAAGTGAACGCCGGAAACAGGATATATAAAATATCTGAGGTGAAAAAGCACAGCAATTATGTAACTACAATAAACAGTAATGGTATCCAAGATGAAGTATTCAAAATTAGAATAAAGGAGGGAAACAGAACTTCTATTTACTCTTATTCATGTTTTCTAAAAAATATGCTATGTAAATACCAAATATATGTTAACAGTAATTCATAAATACGTATGAAGTTCATGCTCAGTATCTTTTTTTAACTGATAGGGTGTGTATTCAAAAAGTTTGGAGTCCACTCATCTAAGCTCAAGGTGCCCAGGTGGTGGGGAGAAAAGGTTCCAATATGGAACACTGGAAAGGACCCAGAACATAATGTTTAGACTTTATTCTGTATGCAATGGAAAAATATTTAAGGTTTCATCAGAATAATAACCTGATCAGGCTTACATTTCAGAGAGACCAATCTAGAATCAAAGTGAGGAAGGCCTATGGAAAACAAGATAAAGTAATTGCAAGAGTCTAGATAAGAAGTGATCACAGCCTGAATTAAGTCACTGGAACTGCAGAGGTGAGGGCAATTTTAAGAATTCAGGTCACAGAATGTAGTGATAATTAGAACAGGAGATAAAGAGATTAAGACTCTCAGGTTTCCAGCTTAGGGACAGTATGTCTGGGTTGAGAAATGGAGGAGAAAAGGGGTGCTTTGTTTTTCAATGTCTTTTTAAGAGGAGGTAGGATGAGCACTTTGGACACAGATTTTCAAATGTCTCCTGACTATCCCGGCTTCTTAAGTCAGCTGGAAATGCAGATTTGAAAAAGATGCTAGACATCTAGATTGTAGAACTGGACTGAGGAATCATGAGAGTACGGTGGATAGTTAAAAGTATTATAGAGCACCAGAACGTCCTGTGTCCACGTTTAAAAATGGGAGGTTGGGGGAGCCCAGGATAAAACTAAGCACCCCTTTTCTCCTCCATTTCTTAACCCAGACATGTTGCTCCTAAGCCAGAAACTTGAGAGTCTATTTAATAAACACTTCTCTGTATCCCATCTTCTAATTATCACTAAATTCTATAATCTGAATTCTTAAACTTGCTCTCACCTCTCCAGTTCCGTCTGATTCCTATCAAAACACGCCTGCAGCTGAGTATTGGAGAGTAGATGCCGCACTCTTAAAACGGACATTTCACCAGCCTCTTGCCCATACTTCACCCAGTAAGAACTGCACACATGCAGGGGCAAAGGATCAGATCCTCCTCTGCCTCCGAGGGTTTGATTCTTTTAATTCATCGTTTTAAAACGCTGAAACAGACCGACACTTTCTTAACCCGTGCCCAGTGACACACCCTCCTCAAAGCCCAGCCTGGGTCAGGGGCTGATTGACTCCAGGAGGCTTCCCTCAACTGCTGTGTATCGGACATCTGCTGAAGAGCTCACAGCCACTACACAGCCGGCCTCTCCGGGCTCTGTAGTCAAATGATCCTGACTCCTACCTCGATATGACTAGCGGCCACGCTGCCGAAGGAAAAGAGCAACACCGCTGTAAAGGCAGTCGCAGCCCGGCTTAGGCAGTGGGAGACCGCCATGTTTGCCGGCTTCAGACTTCCCGCACCTGAAGGGGCGGAGGGAGTGCCGTAAAGCAGCCCGGCGAGTTTTTGCGACGCCATCCGCGCCTCTTTCAGGCGGTCCTCGAAGGCTTCAGAAGTCAGCGCTGTCACCGACCTGGAGGGTCCCGGCCAGCTGGGACGAGGCAGACCCAGGATATCGACCTTCTATCTTTAACCGCATTTTCAGTTTGAAAGGTGTACAATAGGTATAACATTTAAGAAAAAAAATTTGAAAGGTGAGCGGAGGGAAAACCTGTGACGACTCAAAACTTTAAAAAGTTGTTTCTCTTTTCCCTTTTTTTTTTTTTCTTCACAGAGTGATGCTAATTCTTTGAAAATAGGAAGCTGGATGTGGTGGGAAAAACAAGCGTTTTAGCACAAAAAGATTAATTGGATAAACTATAAATGGAAAATATGGGTGCAATTCAGAGGCTTGGGGTCTATTACACAGTGAAAGAATGAACATGGGGAAGCTAGTTAAGTTTTTGTTTCTTGAATATCTTCTGTAATTATGGAACTAAAGCTTATCTGGAAGAGACACACCTCGTGTACATATATGTTCCACCATTCTCTTTATTATGTGCATTCAGTTTTAAGTTCTGCATTTCATCTTTAAGCTCTGCATTTCATATAGTGTGACATAAACGTTCCATGCTGCTTCATAATCCTCACGATTTTAACATTTAATGGCGAGATAAAATTCCATCCATTATTGATACCTCAGCCAAAGTAATTGTGCCTCTACTATACAATGCAAAGGTTTTAAGTTTTACTATGAAAATAATATTATAAAAAGTATCTTTGTATGTTTCGCTTTTTACATCTGTTGAATTATTTTGTTTGGATAATTTTCCTGAAATAGGAATTTGGGGTCTAAATATTCAAAAATATTTTAATAACTATCAATGAAGTTACTTTCTAAAATGAACACTGACAGTGCTATCAGAATACACAACATAATACCAAATCATACCATGTTTTCCCTTTAAATTCTTTGGTATGAAATGTTACCCCAGGTTACTATACTTGTAGTTCTTTAGTTACTGTCAAGAGCTGATGTTTTTCTTGTGTTTCTAAATTATCTTGTGTTTCTAAACTATGAGTTCTAACTAAAGAACCGATGTAAATTCTTTGTTTATATATTTATGTTTTGCATGTGAATTTGAGTAATATATTTACAAAGAAGTAACATTAGCTTTTGCCATATTTTATGCTATTGCTTTTCCCATTCTCTTCTCTCTCTTTTCCCTTTCATTGATTTCTTTTGCTGTTGTACTTTCTGAGAGGTTTAATGCTGTGTAGTCAAATTTAGATTTTGCCATTATGTGAATCCTAAAAATGAATGCACTGCCAGAATATCTTCCATTTATTCATTAATTCAGCAGATATCTATTGGATGCTGATGATTATGAAAAAAAAAGTAGCAAAGGTAAGAAGCCATGTTTGCTAATTTTGTTCCCTTGCCAGCAGTATTTCACAAAGCCCCTGAATCACTGTGAGCAGCCTGGTGGAAGAATGGCCTGAAGACCATAAGCAGGATAGGGAACAGATTATCACATCTCTTGCCTGAACCACTGAATTTTTACAAAAGGTAAGTTTAGTGATCCTAGCCTTTGCCTCTTCCCATACATAAGATAATGTCTGACAGGATTAATGATTATGCCTCAAATTCATGACCAGATGTAACTTCATACCCACACTTTGATGAGACTTCACTTGTATTAATCCATTTTCATACTGCTATCAAGAAATACCTGAGACTGAGTAATTTATAAAGAAAAAGGCTTAATGGACTCACTGTTCCACATGACTGGGGAGGCCTCACAATCATGGCAGAAGGCAAAGGAGGAACAAAGGCACATCTTACATAGCAGCAGATAAGAGAGCATGTGCAGAAAAACTACCCTTTGTAAAACCTTTGGAGGCCAGGCACAGTGGCTCACACCTGTAATCTCAGCACTTTGGGAGGCCAAGGCAAGCAGATTATCTGAGGTCAGGCATTCAAGACCAGCCTGGCCTTGAATGGCAAAAACATGGCAAAACCCATCTCTACTAAAAATACAAAAATTAGCTGGGTGTGGTAGCGTGTGCCTGTAATCCCAGCTACTTGGGAAGCTGAGGCAGGAGAATCACTTGAAGTCAGGAGGCAGAGATTGCAGTGAGCCAAGATCATGCCACTGCACTCCAGCCTGGGAGAAAGAGCCACACTTCATCTCAAAAAGAAATAAAATAAAATAAAAATAAACAAATAAATAAATAAAACCATAGGAGCTGGTGAGAACTTACTATTATGACAACAATTGGTGATAAACTCAGAGTACTAGTTTAGCATGTCTTAGAAGGATCGCAAGTGCTCCTCCATCCACCCCCTCTTACCTACCCCTTCACCCTCCCCTTTCATGCCCACAAGATCAATAAGATTATGCACATAATAAAACTGTTTGGAGCCAGAGCTCTGGGCCAACAGCATGAGAGTAATCTGACCCATGATTAAATTACCTCCCACTGGTCCCTTCCTTGACACTTGGGGATTATGAGAGCTACAATTCAAGATGAGATTTGGGTGGGGACACAGCAAAACCATACCATTCCCCCCTGCCCCTCCCAAATCTCATGTCCTCACTTTTCAAAACCAATCATGCCTTCTCAACAGTCCCCCAAAGTCTTAACTCATTTCAGCATTAACTCAGAAGTCCACAGTCCAAAGTCTCTTCTGAGACAAGGCAAGTCCATTCTGCCTGTGAGCCTGTAAAATCAAAAGCAAGTTAGTTACTTCCTAGATACAATAGGGGTACAGACATTGGGTAAATAACACACATTCCAAATGAGAGAAATAGGCCAAAATGAAGGGACTGCAGGGCCCATGCAAGTCCAAAATCCAGCAGGGAAGTCAAATCTTAAAGCTCCAAAATGATATTTGACTCCATGTCTCACATCCAGGTCACATTGATGCAAGAGGTAGGTTGCTATGGTCTTGGGCAGCTCCACCCCTGTGGCTCTGCAGGATACAGCCTCCTTCCCAGCTGCTTTCACAGACTGGCAGTAAGTGTCTCTGGCTTTTTCAGGCATACAGTGTAAGCTGTTGGTGGATCTATTATTCTGGGGTCTTCTCACAGCTCCACTGGGCACTGCCCCAGTGAGGACTCTGTGTGGAGGATTCTACCCTACATTTCCCTTCTGCATTGCCCAGCAGAGGTCCTGCATGAGGGCCCTGCCCCTGCATCACACCTCTGCCTGGACATCTGGGTGTTTCCATACATTCTCTGAAATCTAGGCAGGGTTCTGAAACCTCAGTTATTGACTTTTGTGCACCCATAGGCACAATACCATGTGTGAGCAGCCTGAGACTGCACAAAGCAGTAAGGCCCTGAGCCCAGCCCACAAAACCCATTTTTCCTCCTAGGTCTCCAGGCTTGTGATGGGAGGGACTGCCTCAAAGACCTCTTACGTGCCCTGGAGACATTTTCCCCATTGTCTTGGTGATTAACATTTGGCTCCTTGTTACTTATGGAAGTTTCTGCAGCAGGCTTGAATTTCTCCCCAGAAAATGGATTTTTCTTCTCTCACACATCATCAGGCTGCAAGTTTTCCAAACTTTTATTCTCTGCTTCCTCTTGAACACTTTGTTATAACTGACCCTCACAGTAAGTCATGCCACAAAGTCTATCCATGCTGTTTTTACTGCTGTTCTACAACTGAATGGCAACTTAAGATTGACCCTACTGAATCTAGGATTACAATTAGATCACTCTTTATTCTTGTCCCCTCCTCTTACCTATATCCCTTCCATGTCTTCTTTTTGCTTCTCTTTTTCTTTCTGCTTCCTTATGCACCAAGAACACAATTGTATTATTCATTCACTCAGTGAGTATTTATTAAACACAAACTATGTACCAGGCATTGTGCTAGGCACCAGCAATACAGGAGAGAGCAAAAATTGAACAAGTTCCTGGCCTTACAGAGCTCACACACAGTCTAGGGGAGCCAGACATTAATAATAGAAGCATTTATACAAATATAAAAGTCTAATAGGAGAGTTTCCTGATCCTAGTCGGGGATCCAACCATTTAAGAAAAATCAGAATAGGTTTCTCTGAGGAAATTGGCTCAGCTGAAATTAATGAGTTAATGAGGCAGATATGGAGAAGAGGGAGAAGCTTTCAAGGCAGAGGAAACAGCTTTTCCAAAGACCTATGGCAGAACAGAACTTGGCTTATTAGAAGAACTTTGAGAATTACGTTGGTCTTGCAGTTCAGAGAACAAAGGGGAGAGTGCTACAAGATGAGGCTGGATTGCTAAGCAGGTGCCACCTCCCTCCAGGGACTTGTGGGTCAGGTTAGACTTAGGACTGTATTTTAAAGGCAAAAGAAAGCCTCCCAATGGGAAAGACTATGCTGCTTCCAATGAGGAGAATTGGGGAGAGCTGTAGGTTCAGCATTTAAAAGGCCATTGCAACAGTCCAGGCAATGATAGCTTAGACCAGAGTGTAAAGAGTGGAGATGAACAGTGAAGGGAACCAATAGGAATTTTAGAATTACAACCCAAAGAACATGGTGATGGATTGTGTTTGGGAAGTAAGAGAGAGGACAATTTCAAGGACAACTTTTAAATATCCGGCTTGTACAACTGAATGCATGGCAGTGCCATTTTTTGAAACATAGGAACCACAGGAAGTGGAGCAGGTTTAGGATTTATATACAAGTGAAGTCTGGTTTAAATATTTATCCAGAGTAATTTGAAAGACAAACTTACATAAACCTATTATAAATACTTTTGTGACTACTAAATAAATGTTACAAAATGGGTAGAAAAGATACATTTAATCAGGATAAGAACATAGACCCTGAGAGAGATTTTACAATGTATTTTACACTATATAGTTTAGTTGCTACAGGGAAGCCTGTTTGCTACAAAAATCTGTGCCAAAACTATTTTATGGAAGCATTTTATATCGAACAGTCACAATGTTTTTGGGGACTGGGCACAGTGGCACATGCCTGTAATCCGAGCACTTTGGGA